AAAAAATATACACAAATATATTTAGAAGTCGGTAGAAAATTTTATTGGTTAAATTATAATTTCATTCAAAATTTATTGATCATAAATTTTTGAAATCAAATCATGAATAAAAATAAAATGTATTAATGTGACCATTCAAAATATTTTCTATATATAATAAAAATAAATAATATTAATACCTCCATTCAAAAGATATATTTGTAAAGTTTTGATTTAATTTTTTTCATATCTTTATATATTCTAATGTATATAATATTCCTACAATATGAAACAGTATCAAACCTATAATATTAAAAGAGAATTCAAATTTTATTGATCATAATATTTTATGGAATCAAATCTTATATAAAAATTAAATATATTTATGTCACCAATAATTTCCATATAAGTATAATAAAAATAAATGATAATAATGTCTTCATTCAAAAGATATATTGGTAAAGTATCGAATTAAATGGTACTCCAATATTTGATTAAAAAATTGTAATATTTGTTTTTAATATTGTATAAAAATATATTAATTAGTCTTACTTTAAAAAAATAAATCGTAAATATTTTATTAAAAATTGTAATATTTGTTTCTAAAATTATAGCAATTAAAAATAAAAAAATACCAATATAAAATAAAAAATTTATTCAAATTTCACGACAAATGAGAATTATAATTTCAATTCAAAATAAATTAGAATTTTGAAGGCACATCAACACCAACTTGTAGGTTATTATCTTCTCTTTAGAAGAAGAGAAATTCTATTTAAAAAAGATGGTAAATATGTTAATTGAACGAAACTTAAAGAAGTGTGTTTGCTAGAGACAATGCTACATTCAAAAGAAAATTTGGTGTAAAATAAATTCCATTAAAACATAGGCCAACATAATTTGCAGTAGAAAAATATATTATGCCAAAACCAATGTTGATATGACATACAAAATATGAAAGCAATAATAATATACATATACATAATTTGAATCAAATCTTGTTAAAAACATTCTTCTATTATGGTTCTTCTGAAATTGGTAGTGAACTTCAGCAACACCCACTACTCTTAAACCCTTAAAAACATATTACTTTAGAAATTCGGGTGAATAAGAGTCTCATCCCTTTGACTATCCTCATGTTCATCAAAATCTCGTTCCTCTTCCAAAAACAGTTCCTCCAAACATTGCAATGAATAAAAAAAACAATTAGTATATAATCAGAAAATACAATGAAATTTAAATAGATTAATAATAAATTGAAAGATGAAGCAAAAGAAATAAGCTTCTATCTATTTGGAGAATCAATCGTAAATATATATGTGTGAGCTTTGTATTCACCAAGACTAAACAAATAAAAAAAGTCAAAACTCAACCTCATATTTTAATTAAAAAAATTAAAAAAATTGAGAAATAAAATCTGAATAAAAAAAACATACCTAACAGCAAAAAATAAACAATATCATGGTTGTGTTGTTCGTCACATGCAAGCTCAAAAATCCCCTTCTGCAACTCTCAAACCTAAAGATAAAGATATCCCATTTTAGGTGTCAAGTTAAGCTTTTTTTTTTTTGGAAAAGGAGAAATAGTAAGACAACCCTGAAAACGAAAAGAATACGACATAAAATATGATATTTCAAACTACATTTCAGTTTCAACTTTCAAACTACATTTCAGTTTCAACTTTCAATCACATGTTTCAATCACTCACCTTCGTCACTTACATATGTATGAATCAAATTAACGTTAAAAATTGCATTTGAAGGAAATTCTTTTATAGATCTATAACGGGTGTTGTTGGTTATTGATGTTGTTGAGATTCAGAGGTCTTGGTTGCGACCATCATTCTTACGCTTGAACGTCTGAAACAAATAAATTAACAGGTTAGGATGAGAATATTAGATGGTTGAGATTACAACGAAACGAAATTGATAGCAACAAAGAGAGAAGAATGAAAAGAGATGGAGCGGCGCAGGAAGAAGATGAAATTAGGTTTTCTGATTTGTGTTTTAATAGAGTTGGGTGAATGAATTATTTGTTGCATCTTGGGAAAAACGATTTCTTTGGTTGTATAGATTTACCGTTTCAAGAACTCAACATTTATTTATGATGGTTGTTCATCTTGTGCTGCCAATTTAAATCTTGCAACAAAAAACGTGATTAGGGTTTAGTGGAATAATTAGAATTTCAAAACCCAGTGTACGTAGCAGCTATAATATGAGTGTTTTAATTTAAATTTCAAATTGAATGACCTTTGGTTTGGATGAGGGTTTTGAGAAGTGGTATGTAGCACATAATTAGGTGTGATTATAACGTGTAAATATAAACAAAATGGCATAATTGTTGTTAGTTAGAAATAATTAAAAAAAATAAAAAGTGGCAGAAAAAACCATTGTGGGACACATCAGCCATATTTATTGTCAAATCAATATGGTGCAAGTATTTCAGAAAGTTACAAATATACCCTTGGAATAAGAAAAGTTATAACATCTAATCAAAATGTTAGACTTGAAATTTCCAGATACTTTACTTTTAATAGATTGATAATAATAGATTTATTAAAAAATATTAGCAAAATTGTGATTTGTTTAAAATTTTAAGTAAGTATTATTATAGTTTAAATAATATTTGTTACTAAAATATATTAAAAATCATGTATTTTTATGAAATATTATTAAAAAGCATGTATTTTTAAGAAATGTTAATAAAAATCGTCTCATTTTTATTAATATTTCTTAAAATACTTTATTTTGAATATTTCTTAAGAAAATACTTTTGAAAGAAACTATTATACGTATGATAACTTTACAAAGAGTTAATTGATCAATTAATTCAATTAGATCATTTTCAAAAGATTAATCGATTCATTGAAATTCAATTAAATTGAATTAATGAAAATAAAATATATAATATTGATATAATTTTAAATAGCATTCAAAAATTATTTTAAGAAAAAACTATATAATTTTGAATGCTATTGATATATTTTAAAATAATTTAGATTTTTATAAAAAGTTTAATAAAACAAAATAAAATCAATTGAAATTCTATAATTTGGTAAAACTTATTAAATAACTAAAATTTATGAGAATCTTTTCAATAGTAATCATGATAAAAAATATTAAATGGTAGTCATGAAAATTTAATGATAAATGGTAATCATAAAAAATTAATAATAAAAATTAAAAATTTAATGATACAATTATTTCTATAAACGGAATAAGTTACAATTATTTTTATACAACAGAATAACTTACAAATATTTTTATAAATGGACACACGAGTTCAATGTGTTTATAAACGCAAAGAAAGTTAGAATAACTTTATAAACGCGAATAAGTTACAAATATTTTTATAAAGGATAAAAATTGAAGTATTAAAACAATTATTTTTAACATGAATAAATTAAATTTTACTTTATAAATTATCACACGGGTTCAAGTCCCTTATAAACGGGAAAAAGTCTATATGTTGATATAAATATTTTTATATATGGAAATAAGTTACAATAATTTTTTTAAACTAGAATAAGTTACAAATATTTTTATAAACGAAAAAAATTCAATTTATTATTCAATTATTATTATAAATCAGAATAAATTACAAATATTTTTTTTATAAATAGACACACGAGTTCAATGCGCTTTCTATGTTTGTAACTATATAAATGTTAATTAACTGAATAAATATATACAAATTTGATAAATGAGAGTGAGAGACGTATAATGTGAATTCAGACGGTAACCGTATGATAGCACGAGTTTCTTACTATTTAATGTTGTTAATTTCATATTAATTTCTAATGCACCGGTTTTCTAAACGTCGTTTTTAAAGACTTTTCATTGTTATTTTCAGAATATACTATTTCAAATTATTCTATTTTTTTCTTATATATAATTAATGTGTTTTACTAATTCTAAATTATGACACTTAAATTACATTTTTGTTAACTCTATAGTTTTCTTCTATTAATTGTTTCTTATTCAATTCTTATATTATATAATTTAACAATAAAGACTTAATACTCTCTTAGTCAAATATATTAATCTAAGATTTCTTTTTTATTTCTCATTTTATTTCTCAATTTAATAGCCGTAGATTGTTCATCTTAATGAAGGACTTTACAGGCATAGATCCACAGGTAAATGTGAACGTATCTATAAATATCAACCGTAAACTGTTCATTTTAATGTTCATCTTTTAAATCTTTCTTTTGCTACTGTTTTATATTAATTCAGTATAGAATTCATTTTTGACTAAATTGTAGAATCTTTTTAATAAAATCAAATTAACATTAAAGATTTAATACTCTTTTGGTCAAATATATTAATATAAGAGTTCTTTTTATTTCTTAATTTAAAAGTTGATGCATATTATTAGTCTATATTTGTAAAGTATATAATTTTTCCTATTTGTTCATGCAGACGTGATTTGTTGATAGGACCGACGCTTGCTACAAATATGGAGTTAAATGCCAACATGGTTTACATGAGACATATACTCAACTGAAAACATGGTAACATACTTAATAATTTAATAATCTATAAATATAATGTGAATCCAGACGAGACCCGTGCGATAGCACGAGTTTGTTACTAGTTAAGGGATGAAAACATTTGAAATGCTGAAATGAATGAAAAAAGGATTTGTGCCTTAAAAAGAGGATTTTAGAATTTTAAAATTTAAAAGTTTAAAAAATCTTTCAAATTCAAATTTATAGTATTTTTGACAAAATAAATAGGAGAATTTCTCTTTACATCTAATACTGGTAATTTTCACCAAAACCTAAAAATATCTTTTGGATATGCACATTCGAACGCATCTTGTAAATTTAAGATATTGAATTATTTAGGATATGCATATTCAAAGAACCCCTGGATATTTAGAAGAACATAATCAGGAATACCATTCAGAAAACAAAATGGTAAATGACAAACTGAAAGCCATGCACTCTAGCCAGAACTTGATGAATACCATTATTATGTTGTGAAAACAATGCTGAAAATAAAAATGACATTCTTGCTTTAGGTAATCCTCATGCTGGGTTGAAATCCATTCACAGTAAATCCTCCATCAACAGAAACAATCTGTCCAGTGATGTAGGAAGCAGCTGGTAGGCAAAGGAAAGTGACCAAGGAAGACACTTCATGTGCTTCTGCTATCCGCTTTATCGGTGTTCGAGATAGTACTTCATTCACAAACTCTTCCTTAGCAATCAACTGCAAGAAAGGTAAACAACTAGCAACATAAGTTACGAACATGACATTGTCATTTGAAGATTAACAACACTACATATGACTTAACCAATCTTTATTAAAAAAATACGGTAAGGCCTCCAAAAGGATAATTCAAGGTGTAAAAGAGCATTACATGTTCCACAAGTGATGTTTTTGTATACCAAGGTGCAACACCGTTGCTCCTTATGTTATCTTTCGCCCATTCACAAGCAAGACTTTTTGTCAGCTGATTGATTGCAGCTGAATAAAACATCATGGCGAATCACATTAGTGAATAAATTCCTTTCGAAATGGTTTGTGCCTGTCATATTTGACCAAAAGATTATACATAGAGTTAGTTACCTTTACTCGCTGCATAAATGGTTCCCGAACCTACACTTGTGAGAGATGCAACCGAGGAAACAAACACAATGCTTCCATTTCCAGATTCTTTAAGAAGAGGATATGCGAGTTGGCATAGATGGTAAGCAGAATCCAAGTTAGTAGTCATCACTTTCGAATAATCTTCTGTTGTATACTCAATTGTTGGCTTCCTCACATTTGTTCCAACATTGTTTACCTAACCTCACAAGATTATGATAAGAACATAATTTTCAACAAAATCGAATATTTGTATACACGAATAATTTTCTTAAACTAAAATTTGATCCAGATGAAGAAGCAATAACCTACAAGTATGTTGAGCTTGCCGTTGAAGGCAGAAGCCACTTGTCGAATAAGCTCCTCTCTTTGAGAAGAATACGACGCGTCACAGACCGATCCATGAACCGAAAAACCCTTACCTTTCCACTCTTTTAAGCATTTATTAAGCTCTTGTTCATTCCTAGAACAAGTATACACTGTAGCACCAAACTCAGCCAGTTCCTCCACTACAGCATGTCTGAACAGTAAAAAACCAAACCCAGAAAAAAAAATCGTAAATTTGAGTCGTTTAGGTATAACCCATTATCGTGAAACTCAATTTAATTCAAGCAAAAAAGAGAATTCGTAGAAATGAGAAGAAAAAAAAAGTAAAATGAGGGGAAAAAGTGAAAAGAAAATAAAGCAAACCCGATTCCACGCGTTCCACCAGTGACTAGAGCTGTGAATCCGGCGAGGGACCACCTTGAGCCTCTGCTAATACTCTCTGGCTTCGCCATTATTTTTGTGTCTTTGTCGAAAGAGGAGCGTGACCGTGTATGTGTTAGTTTATCGGATATCAAACGTCGCCGTTTATGTTTCAATCCAACTCGCCACTGGTGTAGCGAAATTTGGGCCTAACGAATTTTTCCTATATTTGGTGTAAAAAAATATAGGAAATCGGCCTAACGACTTTTTCTTATATTTGGTGTAAAAAAATATATGTCATTCGGATTGAAGAATGTTGGGGCAATCTATCAGCGTATTATGGTAGTCTTATTTCACAACATGATACACCACGAAATAGAGGTCTATGTGGACGATATGATAGCCACATCTCAAACTGAAGAGAAACATCTTGACTATTTACAGAAACTGTTTGAGAGACTAAAGAAATACAAGTTGAGGTTGAACCCGAATAACTGCACATTTGGAGTGAGATCCGGTAAACTCCTAGGCTTTATCGTCAGCGGTAAAGTTATCGAAGTGGACCCTGACAAGGTGAAAGCGATACAAGAGATGCCTGCTCCTCGTACTGAGAAGGAAGCCCGAGAATTCTTGGGACGGTTAAACTACATTGCCAGATTCATTTCTCACCTGACAGCTACTAGTGAACCAGTCTTCAAATTACTGAAGAAAGATCAAGTAGTCAAATGGAATGATGAATGCCAAACTGCCTTCGACAAGATCAAAGAGTACCTACAAGAGCCTCCTGTTTTGATGCCACCAGTTGAGGGAAGACCCTTGATCATGTATCTAACTGTTTTAGAAAATTCAATAGGGTGTGTGCTGGGGCAGCATGACGAGTCTGGCCGAAAAGAGCATGCTATTTATTACTTGAGCAAAAAGTTTACCGACTGTGAAATAAGATATTCACTGCTCGAGAAAACTTGTTGCGCTCTGGCATGGGCTGCTTGCCGGCTAAGACAGTATATGCTGACCCATACTACCTTATTGATATCCAAGATGGATCCAATAAAATACATATTTGAGAAGCCTACCCTCTCTGGGAGAATAGCAAGATGGCAGATGATCCTGACGGAATATGACATTCAGTATACTATCCAAAAAGCAATAAAGGACAGTGTATTAGCTGATCACCTTGCCCATCAAGCTGTGGATGACTACCAGTTATTGTACCCCAAAATTTGCCCTCTCATTTTACTCAATACATGACAATTGAAGTCTCCAAAGTTGCTCAAGGAAGCCCAAGAGTTGACCAGAAAAACTCTCTCCTAAGGCAGTGCCCCTTAAAATTAGGGTTTCTATTTTCATCAAGATGGGTGACCCACAAAAGCCCCAATATGCTTTCCAAGGTCTTATTATGTTTCCAAGACCCTACATATCAAGTTTCATGCCTTTCACAAGAAGTTTGCCCAGTCAACTGCTCAGATGCTTAAAAATCGATTGTATTAGGTCAAAAGTCAACTATGTCCCACATGCAGTCAAACCTCGATATTTTTGTTCAACGTCGTTATTTTGAAGTGTTATCCATCATTGGATCAAGGGTTGATCATGATTCTTCAAGGAATGCTCCAAATTCATCAAAACCCAAAAGTTGCTAAATTAGGATTTTGCAGGAAAAGTCAACCCAACTTTGACCAAACATAACTCCTTCACACTTTATCAGAAACTTTCAATCCAAAGCTCATTTTTAAGAGGATGCAATTCCCTACAATTTATCTTCAGACTACAAGTTCAAAATATGCACTCACAAAAAGATATGAATTTTGACATTATAGGTCCTTTTGAAAAGTCAATAAAAACACCTTTTGGGTCAAAGCTTCATACATGAACATGGAAGACTCAATTGAGATGAGACCAAAAGGGTTGCTTAGGGGACATCCTAATATTTCTAAAAAGTCCAAGAACACCTCTCTAGGGTTAAAATTGGAGGAGATATGCCTTGTCAAAGTTAACCTTTTTTGCAAAGTTGTCAAAAGTCAAATGGGCTCCAAATTACATTTTTTGTCAAATAGGCCTAACTTTTTATGCTTGCACCTCACTTATAATATAATCCACGACCCAAATATCCAACCTCATGTTATTTGCTTCACTTTTCAATTTATTTTGATTCTTTTTTAATTAAAATTTCAATTAAATCAAATAATTGAGGAATAATGAAAAAGATATGTTGTGATCTGATTTTTGGACAGGATTTTAATCAAATAATGCAAGGATATCATGATCAATTCGAATCAAGGCTGATTAATACAAGAAAGGCATAATTTGGCTCAATATAGCAAGTTTACATATGCCATGAAAATCAAATCAAATCTTCAAAACTTTCAAAGATGTGATTTGTTTTTACAATCCTAATCCACTCTATGATATATATTGAACACATCCAAGGCAAGAACAAGGGTGAAAATCGTGGGAGGAGGCAGAACAAAACTGCAAAATTTCAAAGAAAAGCGTGAGACCTATCTTCTTCCATAGGCCAATTCGAACCATTCCAAAGCTTCTAAACCATTTATGGACATCTCATGAAGCTAATAGCATTGTTTTCCAGCCTTGAAGCATCCAGAATCATCACGTTATAACATCACGGTTTGCACAAAAAACTCAAACTCGATTTCAATGTTTTATGCATCCTAAACGCATGTTATTCATATATTCTTGTTCATAATCATGATTGTAAGCTTTCTGTATAGCTTAATTATACTAACAGTGCAGGAATCCATATTCACCATTACTAGGGTTAAGAGCTCGGTTTGGGGATTTTTGATACAGGTAAAATTGGACCATGAATGGGGTACCATGACACTCATGAGACCAAGACGATTTGATTGGTACCATTATAATTGATTTATATTGCATGTACAGGATTTTAGAGATGGACAGGGTTGTAGCTACAAACAAACGTCCATAGGTAAAAGTGTTTTACCTAAAGCAACGGTCCAAGGAAGAAGATGATGTGTGTCAAAGCATGGTTATCCAATTCAAATTTCGTGCGTGTTTTCATGACTTTTAACGTTTTTCTAATATATTATATTTTGGTTATTTATGTTACCAATAAAGCACGTTGGTCTAGTGGTAGCCAGGAGGAGAGATTAGGCGTTGTAGGCAGGAGGTCAGGGGTTCGACCCCTGACTCTAACATTTTCTCATTTACATGTTTTCTTTACAGAATCCAATATACTTCATCTCCAGGAGACCATCATACACCCTCAATGCATGTCCACTGGATTGCACGTTGACCATATCTCACGCCTCTCCAATGAAGGACCATGATGCACCACAAAGTCAACACCATACCAGATTCAGCGCTGACCAGGCCTGGAGCTTAATGGGTCATAGATTTCTAGTTCTACACCCCCAAAATTCCTAACAACACAGGCCCATTTCTCAAAATTTTCCCCTCTTTTTATTATTTTATTTTCTTTATTCATTTTATTTTTAAAATCAGTTTCTTTTATATAAAATCATAAAAATCAAAAAGTCATAAAAATTAGAATTAGCTTTTTTTATCAAATTTAATTTTTTTAAATTAATTAGTTTATTTAATTTAGGGTAACTTTAACTTATTTTTTACAATTAAAAATCAATTAGAAAACTAGGTTTAAATTCTTGATTTAATGATTTTTCTTTTTTAAACAAAACACAAAAAATAGGCTAATTTAATTATTCTTCTTAATTAAAGTTAATTAGTAATTAGGTTCTTTTTTATTCAATTATTACTTATTTTCTTAAATAACAAAAATAACAAAAATAGTTTTCTTTAATCAATTGATATTAGATTTAGTCAAGGGTCAAAACTCTAATTTCTCCCGTATTTGATTTGTCGCGCGCTTGTTATTATTTTTGCAATTATTTTGTAACTGTTTCAAGGTTGTAATAGTTTAAATTAGGATTTTAAATTCCGCATTTTTTTATTTCACCTCAAGGAAATTGAGTAACTGTCAAAGCCATGTAATAGCTAGGTTTATTTCCGCTTTTACTTTCAGCAAACTTTTAACTGTCTAGATGTATGGCTAATAGGTTTGTATGGCAAGAATGCATGAAAAATTAAAACAGTTAGAAAACCCTAATGTGCAAAGATTAAAAGAATTGAAACAAATCACTCGCACATGTTCACTCCTAGGGTTTACCTCACTTCGGTTGCCTTCGGTACACAATCATTAAGCATAGAAGATTTTAGTGGTAGCCCTCCAGTCTAAAGAGATCAAATTGTCCCATTTGAATGTTGCCTCGGAAATGTTGCCTCGAAAACGTCGCCTCGAAAAGATCTTAAGACTCTAGGGTTATTACTAAAGTTTTCTAACTATTTCTTTAGTGATTGTATTCGTCCCTTTCGAATGTCCCTTACAAACTCCAACGACGGTGCTACCTACTCCTTAATAGTGGGATAGCGCTGTCTAAAGGAAATAGAACATAAACAATCTTTTTTTTCCCGAGTAGGTAGATGCTAGTAGGTACTTGCTTAAAACAAATCTTTTAACACAAACACCTTTCAAAAACAATTTTCAAAACGAACTTTGTCACATCCTTGAGGACAGATACAAGGGTTATCACGAAGTTAAACAAAAAAATTTCAAAACACACACAAGAAATTTAAAAATGAGCAAGTATCTAAGAGCCCATAGATAACTACGGATGAAAAGGGTGCTAACACCTTCCCTTTCCATAATCTACCCCCGTACTCAGAAACATCTCGAAAAAGGTTTTTTCTATTCTTTTTCCTTTTCCTTTGTTGGATGAAATAAAAGTCGGTGGCGAATCTTGCTTACCACGACATTTTGCTAACAAAAAACGCAAAATGCAAACCAGTATCAAACAGTCAGTTCTGCCACCGTATCACAGAACTGGCGACTCTGCTGGGGATCTAAATATAAAGTGGGGTAAACCTTAGGATCTAGGTCATATTTAATTGCTTTCTCTTTATTGTCTTACTTGCTTTATATTTATGGGAACTGTTTGGGTTATTTGATCCTACACCCGGATCTGGGGAACATCTTTTAGGTAAGTAGCAATAAACTGTGAGGGAACTATGATGGGGTATACTGGCACGGTTGAAGCAG